GCATTTTCTAGAGTTGCTACAGAGTCATGTTGCTGACCCAGTCACTTCACGATGGTTCAGGACACCACCAATGTTCCACACAAAGCTAAGAAAATGCTCTGTTCTTGGGGGGTCTCCCGTAAAAGTAGGGGTGGCCCTGCACCTGGTAAGGTCGTGGCAGCTGCCAGCCAAATCCTTTCCTGTTATCAAATGTAAGGAGTGAGGGCTGGTTCCAAAGGGAGGCACTTCCAGAGCAGCAGCTGTCTCTTCTTCTGGTACATCCTCACAAGCTGTTCCATAATTCTGTTTTTAGTGGAATGGAATCTTAGACCTATTTTGTCATAATCATTTGTCATTACGAGATGCCCAGTACAAAGAGAAAGCCAGTGGTTTGGAGGCAGAAGGAAGCCTATACCCCGCCCAAATTCTGCCCAAGCAAAATGATCCACACACTGTCACATAGCAAAGAAATGCCTACAGTTACATTTATGACTTGGCCACCCTGCCAGAAATCTGCTCTTAAAATAAATATTTCAGTGGTGTTGGCTGAAGATTTGGAGATAAAGAACTCTCAAGTTCTGTTACTTATAGCAAATCTCCACTTTGTTACATATAAACTGCTCTGAATATGTCAGCTGGAAAGAAAAGATGGTTCTCTTTCACAAAGTCAAATCAAATGCCTCTTCTGGTGCCCAGCTGAGCCCAGTGGGTTGCAGGAAGACCCACTTCACGTCTTCACGCCTTACCATTTCCTCACTGGAAGCAATCAGAGGAGGACTGAGAAAGACACCTGCAAGACCCCACATGGTGCTCCTTGCCTTTCTGGTTCTCAACTTTGTGGATTCTTCCTTTTTTTTATCCTTTGTTCAGTTAATGTGAAGATCAAACTGTGGGATCCACAGAGGATCCCACAGTTGTCTTTCTAGCTTCCTACTTGCAGAACTGTTGGAGAGCTCTGGGCTAGCTTCCAGCCTCAGAGCTGCAATAACTTCCATTAAAACCTATGTCCAAGGTTCTTCCTGCATTCCCCTGCCTCAGATGCAGGACACATTGGTGAAAGTCAGCTTGCAGCCTCTGACCTCACCCATTAAGACACACTTGCATACTAGGACAACAGTCTGCCACTTACAAAATCTTACAGAGAAGTGCCTTTAGCATCTGTTTTCAGAGATCTTTTAAGATAGATTGGGCACTATCTCCACCACCAGCCCCCTTCCCATTTGGGGCCAAGTTGTTTATACACCTATAGGCAGGCCTCCAATGTCTCGCCTACTAAGCAGTGTAACTGAAGGCTTAATATGTTTTTAAGACCCAGGGGACCAATGATGATTGTCGAGCTTCAGTGTTTACATTGGTAAGTTTTCTCAGGTGACAGCCAATGGTTTTTACACTGCAGGAAGTGGAAGTGAGAGCCAGAAGAGTGGAGAGCAGGAGAGCCAAGAAGAGTGTGATGTGAACAAGCATGCAGAGACACCTAGTCGAACTTGGCAATGCACACAGAAGAACCTTACTTAATGTTCTTTGGGCATTGTTAGGAGTGAAAACCAGGGCCCATTCATTGGCGCATGCATAATTGAGAGTGAGTGTGATCTTAGGTCTCTTTCTCCTAATTCTTTACAAATTCCTACAAATGGTTCCTGACATCAAGAAATTAGGCATGTGCAGAATGCAAGACTGGTGGGGTTAAAAAAGATTCCACTCAGATTTCAGAAAAAGCCCTAGGAGGTCAGGCATTGTGTTCCTAATAGAACAATGTATGAAGCCGTGAGTGTGAAGCCAATGGCACCGTGGAGACTCCAGAAGACTGGAGAAGCTCGGGACACAGATAATCCAAGGAAAGCTGCAAGAGGTGAGCAAAGCCAGGCAAAGAAGACATGGGAGCCACAACCACCAGAGGTGCCATTTGGAGCCTCCCAAGACCTCCAGAGTTCACAATTTGTTACAAATTACCAGGGATGCTTAAAGTAGAGTTGTGGGGTTTAACTTTGCCCTGCTGGATTTTGGACTTCTTTTAGCCCCATCCTTTGTATCCACCTATTTGGAACCCTTTGGCATGGTAGTGTTTATTGTACCATTGAAGGTTGGAAGTGTTTAACTTTATTTTCATTTTTACAGGGGCTCACAGCTAAACTTTGCCTTAAATTTCAGAGGAGATTTTGGACTTGGACTTTTCAGCAATGCTGAAATTGTTAAGCTCTTGGCAACTCTTAGAGATGGACTAAATGCCTTTTACATAAAGGAATGTGATGAGTCTTTGGGGGGCCAGGGAAAAATGTTATGGTTTGTGTCTAGATGTCCCCCCAAAACCTCATGCAGTCCTAGGCTTTTTCAGATGTGGCTGGATGTAGAATATACGATGCTAAGGATCGAGTCACGGTGCAGTGCTAGGACTGAGGGCACCAGGATGGAGGGTGTGAGTGTTACCTGTCCTAAGTAGCCTGGATAAGGTATGAAAGAGTTGTGGTCGACCTTTTTTGCTTCACTATTTCCTGCCTGTCATAAATCTTTCTCCTCTGTGATGCTCATCTGCTGTGCCACTCTGCCTTGGAGTCAGCCAATTCTGGACTTAAACCTCTACAAACCATGAACCAAATTTCCTCCTTTAATTTTAGGTGTCAGGAATTTTGTCTCAACAATGAGAAAAGTAACTAAGACAACCTTTTCATGATTTTCCAGTTGCTGGGAATTCCTGCTCCCCCAATCCTTTGGAGGCAGGGCAGTGAACACAGTGCACGTGCCACTGAAAATTGTTTCTCATTTTGTAAATAGGTTCCCTGAAGCTCGAAGAGTCTATGAATTTGTTTCAAAATATCTAAGTGTGATTTTATACCCTGAAGCCAAATATTTAAAAAAAAAAAAAACTGTTGCTGGCCTTATAAGTAAATAAACAATAAAATCTTTTCAGTATGCTGTTACGACACAGTGCTAAATCACTCCTGTGTCATTCAGCATGACAGCCTGTCCTGGGCTCCAACTCTTTCCCTTGACTTTGTGGGTTGCAGACATCAGCTAATCCACAAAGGGGTGATTGTCAAAATCTTAAGAGGCCAAAAATATCCACCCTTTCATCTCTACCTACCATATTCTTTTGTTAAGCCTGTAATTAGATCTAAATGGAAAATAAACCATTTCCAGACCAATGAAGTTGGCACTAAAGGGTGACAAGAAGGAGAACATGTTCCACCTCCCATCTGGATAATCACATTCTCCTGTGCAAAGGAAAATAAAAACAAGGCTTCTTTCAAGCAACGGCCCTGCCTTTAGTGGGGAGGAGGCTTCCATATACCTTGCCCCACTTTGCATGGTAACTGTCAGCCAGCTTATAGTTAAAACATCCAGAAATTGTTTTACTTTCCAAACAGCAACAAAAACCTGTTCTCTTAGCCTTGAATTCTTCTAATCAACTGAACTTGGGAAGGCAGTTCAAACACAAGTCATTGTGCGCTACAAGGTACGTAACAATACAAAGTAAATAACATGCACAGTGTACACACACTAAGGTCTTAGCTGCCCAGAGATTTTCATTGTTTCACAGTTTTTTGACTCCTACTGTGTGTGGTATGGAATGCTGAGATGGACAAGAACGGTTTCCCTCAAGGACTTCAGAAAAACATAAAGAAAAATTAAAGCAGTACATGTATAACTCACAACTGGGTAAAAATTAATAGGTATCTTCCAAAAGCCTAAACGCTTATGGGAATTTCACAGAAGGTAAGATGACTTGATTCTGCAAATAGTCTGGCAAAGGCAGTGGGACATGGTGCAATCCAGAGAGATGCCCAGATTAACTCCGGCTTGGTATACACATGCAGAAGAGCCTGTTGCACTGTGTGGGGCTCTGGCCAGGTCGCACGTAAAGGGCACAACTCTAAGTTAGATGTTGAATGTTGTGCCTCTAAGCAGCTGGTTTGCATTCTTATTTTGATTCTACTACTCATTTTTCCCCCTTCATTTATTTCACAAGTAATGGTTGATGTCTGAGGAGGACTCTGCCCTGCAAGACTAAACCCTCTGAAATCAGAGCTTAATAATTACTGCTTTGAGAGATTAATCCACAGCGCCACCTTGCTGTTCTGGCTGCTGTGAAGGAGGTGGGGCCTACTTGTTAGAGTCAAGGAAACCGAGGTACAGAACAGTGACTCGCCAATACTATGTAACTGAAAAGGTCTAGGGCTTGACTACATAAGGCTTTCTTGCCTTACATGGGACTACGTAAGGCTTCTATTGCCTACTGAAACCAGCTCTCTGGGGCCCTCCAGAACCTCCAGTGCTCTATCTACTCAACCTAGGCAATGATGGAGGACCTTTTAGAGCTTTCAATGATACAGATAGCCTGCTGTGCCAGCGTGCCATATGTTCCCCAGGCCTGGCACAGGCTGTCTTTGTTCTCTCCTTGTTCTCCTACAGCCTGAGCTCTCCAAGGGAACTCAGGTAGGCAAATAGCGGGTGTTGGAACTACAGGCACAACTGTAGGCCCCTCCTGAGGTAATCCACCCTTGACCTTCTGGGCTCCAAGCCAGCCCTTCTTGAAAGAGAAACCGCAGGCCTTGGACACAGAAACTAGTTGCCCGTGTTAGAAATGCTGTCCCTGCCAAGAGCACCAGCTAAGAAACTGTGTGCTGTGAGTTGGGGGGACCCACAAAGTACTCCGGTGATGGCAAAAGGGGGACACTCCCGGTATTACCTGTGCCCCTATCTTCACAGAATCACCCCAGTCGGAACAGGGAACCCAGAAAGTTGGGCTCTTCCCCTAGGGACACAAAGTTTTGCCTTAATTCAACTTTAATTAACATCACCCAAGATCACCCAAGAAATGAGACTTCTCGCATAACTTTACCTTACAGTGGTAAACAAGAGTGAATTTGGGTGTGTGTTTGTCAGTTCAAACGTGTATTCCCAATACTTGGTTTTCTTTAATTCTTGCAATTCAATTGCTCCTCACCTCTAGGTGCGGTAAGCATCTGCATACAAATGGGGAAGAGAAGCAGGAAGAAGGTGTGAGTAAGGCAGGCTCCGCTCACCTTTTGCACTCGTGGGTTGAGGTCCTTCGCCACCTTTGCCATCTTATTCTGCGGAGGAGACACGGCGCCGGGCTCTTCCAGCAGAGGCGCAAGGGCACGCTGCAGGGCTGCCGGAGGGTGAATGGCCAGGTTCGCGCGCCCGGCGGGGAGCTCTGCGTGCAGCAGGGCTCTCCAAGCCGCTTTAATTGGAGAGCCGGGCTCCCTCTAAAACCGCGCCAGCCAATCGGCGCGGGCACTCGCGGGGGGCCAGCCAATGGCAGCGCGAGGCAGCGCCCCGCCCTCCCGGTGTCTCCGCCAGGCCCAGCGGATCCCTGACCCCAGCGCGGCGCCGCCCGCCTGGCGGGGCTGCCCGCTGTCCCTCCTGTCCCCGGGCGGCGCCGACTCGCTCCCCACGCCCTTCTCCTTTAAAGGACAGCGCGCCGAGGGGGCGGGCGACAGCCGGCGGTCCATTCAGGTCAGGAGGTAGAGGGATCAAACAGGAGGGCCGAGGTATTTTTAGTGAGCTGGCTCCAAAAATAAATGCTGAGCCGTGTCCCTCTTCCCGCCCTGGCCGCCGCGTCTCACGGTGGCGGGAGACAGGTGGGTGGCAGCTGCGGTCACCTGTGCTGACCCCCCCCCCGTGAGGGAGATGAGAGTGGGGGGAATTGGGGTGAAGAGTTAACCAGCCTGTTCACACTGCAGGGGGACGCGTCCTCAGGGATGGGTGCAGCCCCAGGACCCCCTCGTACGTCCTGGTTAAGGTGGAGCCCAGGCCTTCCTCCAGGGAGAAGGGGCGCAGGGTTATGAGTTGGGAACTATAGACCAGGAAGTCGGTAATGTTTAGATAAATCAGCCCTGGACAAGCAAGATTCCCGACGGTACCCCTGCAAGGTCCACTACAGCCACTCTTAGCAGACAAACCTGGCCAGGCTTCCCTTGCCTCTGGATCCACATCTGCAGATGGAGGCAGTTCCACAGAATGAAACAAGGCCCATTCTCCTAGAGAGAGCCTGCTCTTTCTGTCTGACAGATATTTTCTTGTCGCTCACATGGGCGTGCTCCATGTGGGAACCCAAGTTCCATGGGCTAAAATAAAACTCTCAGCAGAGAGCGAGACAGTGAGCTCAAAGGACATCCTTTGGGATGGACCTGGTGGGGGTCTGGGTCTGGAGGTCACATCCATGAGGCTTCTGTTATTGGAGGCTGTTTCTTAAAGCCTTCTCCAGTTTGGGTCCTAACCCATCCTCTCCAGCCTCCTGAAACCTTGACCAGAGATCCAAATTGTGATTTCCTTTTCACAGTCCTGGAATGGGCTTTCCATTTGTGACTCACCTTTTCCAGGATGAGGGCGACTGATTTCTTCCTTCCTAGATTTCTGCTGTAATTAATGTTTCTCTTGCTTGTTCTCAGCTACAGCTTCAGCACCTCACAGACAACAGAGGTTCAGGACACATTTCTGAATGGATGCAAGTCAAGTTCTGGCTTTTAATGGGCAGTGAGCAGGCCAGGTGAAAACTTCCAGGGTGAGCTGGAGTTAAACCACTAGGTAGTAAAGTGTGACTAACAGGAGCCTGGTCCAGGAGAGAACATTTCCACATGAGCAGAGCTTTCAGTAGCAAATCCTAGGAACAACAGGGTTCAAGGGGGATGTTCTGGGAGAGTCTTTGAATGGAGCGGAAGCCAGGAGTATAACAAAGCAAGCTTTCTCCCTTCCAATCTAGGCAGAAGCATTTTGGGTGAAGTCACCTCCCATTCCCTCCCCTGCTGCTCTCCTTGTCCTGTCTTGAGAAACTATTGTTCCACGGAATAATGCTAATTTTATTAACTTTAACATCATTTGGCTGCAACCACAAAATTCCTTCCACTTGTCTTTATTTTATTCTTGACTCCAGGTACAATGAAAGGAGGGAGAAGTTGTGGTTGTTTCTCAGAATGTGAGCATCAGGGCCCTCTGCTTGGGTCCCATTTTAGTTCTTCTGGAAAAACCGGAAATGGGATCCCTGGTCTGCTAAAGTTTCTCCCATCACAGCTGAGGATGCAGATTAGGATCCTCCAGACCCTACATTTGAGCCATGTGTCCTGGAAGCCCTGAAGGTCAGGCTTGCCTGGCCACCTGAACAAACTCACAGGTCAGGGCCCTTAGGAAAATGGGGAAACGTATTGGTGCTCCTCAGCTTTGCTCTAACTGTTAGTTTCTTCTTGGAATAAATGGAGATCTTTTCCAGGTTGGAGCAGTACAGAGATCTGATTTTCCTCAGGTTCACTGCTTTGTGCCACAGGAGCATTCATCTAGCAGCTTTGGGGACTCTGTCTTAAGCCAAGCCTTGTGCTCTGTGCTTGGGGCACCCTAGTTAATAAAAAGAACTTTCCCTTTGAGATTGCCTTGTGCCTCTAACTGATACTGGCACTTTCTGATTGAAAGCTGTTAATGTACTTGCTCTTTTAGAGGAAACAGGAATTCTGAATAATCAAGGGCTTTGTCCAATCATGTAGCTCCTAAGTGGCAGGTGAAATTCAAATTCAAGGTTTCTAATTCCAGATTATGTCCTTTCAACTAGACCATACTGCCTCCCCTAATGACCATAGAAAATCGATCTTGAGGGAAGGAGTGAACACTTGGCATAAGATGATATTATCAGTGTAATCATTGGCACTGGGTTGGTTGTAAATGGGATTTTTGAAAGAATGTCCATTTTTCCATTCATGGATGAAATAAACTAGAATTGGGAATGAAAGTGAGTTAGGGTACCTGAGGGGAGGGTACAATGGTCAATAGACTACAGAGGTCCCTGCCCTCCCCCAGTGTCAGTTCTAGTGTTGAGGTAGATGGCCAGATACCTAGACCAGGTATTAATTCATGCCTGTGGGAGATAATGGAGGATCGGTCACCAGCTGAGATCCTTGTAGATGGCGAAGGAATCAGCAGCGTTAAAAGAAGATTCTAGGAGAATGGATCAAGAGAGGAAAATCCCTAAGGTGGGCACAACATGGTGTGTCCAATGGGCAGTCAGGTCAGCATGCCTGAGGAGGCCTGGGAGAGGTGGGCAGGGCCTGCAAGCCATGTTAAGGAACTAAACCTTCTGAGTACAATGGATATGGTAGGTGGTCACTCAGCTGAAACATGAAGTGAGCCATGTGTGTCATTATAAACCTTTTTATAGCCAGATTTATAAAAAGAAGCAGATTAAATATTTGTAGAGTATTCTGTGTAACTCAGGATAACCAGAATGTTGTCATTTCCTCCTGCAGCTCATAAAAATTATTGAAATGCTTTAAATTCTTTTTTTCATTCTCCATCTTCAAACTTTGAAAAAGAATGAAAAAATGTAAAAGAAAATAAAGAAAGAAAAGTGGGTGTGTCTTGACTCACAGCACATCTCGGCTCAGACTCCCTGTTGCAGTGTTTGACAGTCACATGTGGCTAATGGCTACTGTGCTAGACCGAGTGGTTACGGAGAGATGTAAATGAGGATGTGACTCACTGTGTAACACATGCAGCAAAAACATCAGGAGGTACTAATAGAATCCTAGATGGTGAGTAATCAAGGAGCTGGGAACCAATACGTGATTGGTCAACTCTGTGTTTCAAACACTATCCTGGGAGAGGAAGAGACAGAGCATGATAAAGAACTCAAGTCTTTTGGTTTCTTGCCAAATATTTTCACAAACCCCCAATCATCGTAACTCACAATGACATTTTTATCTCTACAGTATAGCAACCTTGGACTAAGTTGTTCAGTGTGTCAATATGATTGGTGGCTTCTGTCTGATTATGATTTTTATACTGTATTCATTTAAAAACATCTAACACTAAGCAATCCATGAGCTACATACTGTGTTTCCCCAGAAATAAAACCTAAGTGGCACAACCTGAACGGAACCAGTTCTAGCTGATCATTACCATGGTAATGGCCAGAGTCAGTTAGATTATACCTCCTAATGTATTCTCTTGTTCCGTGGCTGCTATGTGGTGACAGATAAGGTGAGGAGAGATGGGGGCTGGCACTGTTTTCTCACTAGGTCTTATTTTGGAGGAGCACGGTAGTAGATTTTAATTAACTGATAGAAATATATATATGAATGTCAAAGTAGCATTTTTGTATCAACTTGGACATCACTGACCAGTGCTTGTGTGTACACATATGTGTGTGTATGAATTGTTCACAACTCAAAATTTTTGTTTCTTTTCTGACTTTTTAATAGAAACATTAATTCTAGAATAACTGATTTCCTCCAGGTTTTTATATGGCTTCCAGGATCCAGAAAGGCTTTGCCTATAAGGCAAAAAATTCTGTATTAAAAGAAAACCCATGATTGTTGGACCCAGACAAGGTTCCACCCTACAGCCTTTGACAAGGACAGGGAAGAAAACAAGGGGAATCTGTCTGTTACCAAACAGCAACAGATCACCAGCTGGAACTTGCATTTTTACCCCTCTCTAAAATTTACCTGCTACTTAAGTTATTACACTTTAAAACATGGTAAATTTGTCCAGAGCACCAGACGTGTTGGGAGTCACATCCACAGGTATGTTGTGTCTTAGAGCAAAGGAAAAGAGGCTTTACAGAGGTCAGATCCTTAAAAGTTAATTAATAAGCAGCTTTCTTGCTGCACCTGACCAAGGCTGAGCCAGGAGGGCTGCGGTTTCCAGCCTAGTGTGGGAAAGTTAGCATCTTACCACAACCCTGCCTCAAAATTATAGAAAGGGCTGTAGATATAACACAGTGTGGAGGCCCTAGGTTCAGTCTCCAGTACTGAGATTTAAAAAAAAGAAAGAAAGAAACCCAGTTTAGTGTTATTCCCATTATTGCTGGATCTGTTTTAAATACTTAATTCTCTGTTATTTCTTAGGATGAATAAATCTTCCTTCTGTGCTGAGGATCTACCCTAGGGCTTTTGGACATGCCAGACACTCTATCTTTGAGCTACATCCCCAAGTCCCAGTACTTCTTTTAAAATGGAATACTACTGCTTTCAATTCTTATGGACGCCTGGGACAGAAAGTTTCCTGCACTGAGTGGGGTTGTGCTATTGTCTGGCAGTGCGGGGAGTGGACCACATGGCCTTGCTGTGGAAGCTGATCCACAGGCTCCATGAACGTGGATGAGGTTCTTGGCTGTCTTCCTCTGGCCTCAGACAGAGGAAGCCGTAGCATATTCATTCCCCGACTCTCTCCTGTTAGGCTGG